AGTCTTGGGAATGGGGGCTTGGGGTTTGGGTTGATAAAAAGTGGGTAGTGACTTTTTTAAAACCAAGAGATACCCCTTTTTGAGTTTAAAATTTAAGAAGCGCAATTTTCTACCAAACGAGTACAAGAAATAATGTTTTCGTTTATGTTTTCTTTAAAACATATTTGAATTTATAAAGGCAGTCAAAATCAATGATGAAAAGGCACATTTCCTAAGTAGCCACTTTTTACAGTACATACTTCATATTAGCAGTCAGAAATAGATTCCTTTAAAAGGCCGGCATCCTGACGTGACCAAAATATATTGAGGTTTTGCTGTACGATTGTCATTATTACAAACATTCGTTATTAATTTGTTTGAATCAAAAACACATTTCAGCATTTCAGGTGGCATTTCATGAGATAGGGAATCTACTGTACATTTATGAGCCCTGTCCAACTCTCCTAATTTAATGATCAATGCAATTTTGCCGACCCGATGATGAACTGCCGAAAACAAAGAGTACGGTCGACATTTCACGCACGATGGCGACATTTGTGAAAGATCGATAACCACTTGTATTTGGGGGATTTTTAATGCTGGTCATCGCGCAGCCTAATCTCAAGTCATTTCAGTCACGTCACGGTGTGGTTTTTTTTTATCGAGCTTCCCTCTGACCACTTACAAAATCCATATTTTGCAAAAAAATAGCTACTTAAATAGTATGCATTTAAGTCATTGATTTTCGCTGCCTTTTAATAATCCGGTATATTTTATAGAAGGCCTTCACAAAGGTATTCTTCCTTGTACTAGTTTGGTAGAAAATTATGCCTTGTTCAACTTTTATACTTAAAGGAACGGTATATTTTGGTTTTACAAAAATTTCAAATTATGAGATTTTTACGACTGTGAAATGTTCATTCACAATACATCGAATACGTTAAAATATAAATTTTGTCTATAATGTATAAAACATTATCCCCATATGTCGCAAAATATTTGAGAACTGTGTGACCTCCTTCTCCCACTGTAGGGAAAAAATAATCATTTCCTTAGGCAGGATGTACACAGAATGCAGTTTGGAAACCTTAATTCTAGTGTACCGGCTGGTAAGTTTGAAAATGATTAGGCTGGTTAGAACCTTTTTTAAAACCGAAAAGTAGCCTTTCTTTAAGAATAAAATTTAAGGAAGGTGTAATCTGCTGGCAAACGAGTACAAGAATGAATAGTTTCATACCGGTTTTCTTTAAAATATACTTGGATTTATAAGGGCAGTCAACATCGATGAGTTAAATGCATATTACATAAGTAGCCACTTTTTACAGAATATACTTTTCAAAAAGACTACTTTGGCAAGCGTACGTGCTCTTTCGATAAATTCTCTTCAGGCCTATACATTTATATGGGAGGGGTAAAATTCAAACAAGTGGTCGATGTCCGGAATAAACCATGTGTGCCAGAATAGAGCTGTTTATGCTCCTGACTTCGCCTTTTCTCAGCCATGCCGGGAGGTGTTCCTTTGTTCTTTTGGATAGGCGAAGCCAGGAGCATAAACAGCTCTATTCTGGCGCACATGGTTGATTCCGGACATCAGATGGACCCCAACAACGCTTTCCGAGTGATCTACAAGGTGCCACCAAATTGTGCAAAGTCTCTGATTCAGCGCCTGCTAGTAACTGCAGAAGCGACCGCTATCAGGTTGATGAAGCCGGCGTTATGTGCGCAAAAGAACTTCGTGCAAGCTCCACATCTGGCGTCTCGCGCAGTCACTTAGCGGCATGCACTCATCCGCGCTCTGGTTATCTCCCGCTTGTAAGAAAAGACGAACATTATCGACCGCTTGTTTAAATGTTACCCCTCCCATATAAATATATTGGTCTGAAGAAAATTTTATCGAAACTTCACGTGCTCTCGCCAAACTAGCCTTCTGAATTCTCTGATGGGAATTTTCTCAACTCTAAAATATACTTTTTGTAAGCGGTCAGAAAGGAGCCCTTTAAAAAGCCGGCATCCTAAGGGGACTGAAATGACTTCAAATTAAGCGGCACCATAATGAGTATTCCGTACTCTCATCGCTAGCACGCTGTCCCAAGTGTAAAGAAACGGACATCGAGAAGCTGAGATTAGGTCCGTCTCCATAATAGATTTGGACGTTATGTAAACCTCTAGATTTTTGGTTTTGTTAAGTTATCCATTGGTCTCAGTGAATAAAGTCATTTTGTTGATATTTTGGATGTTATCTTCAAAATAAAGCGTATTTCTTTCCCTCTCAGTTGGAAAAGGATTTCAAAGTAAGAGTCAAAAAGAATATTTCATGCTGTCTTACGTAGAATCTTTCCGGTAGCATTGTCCGGTGTTCTACGCATCCCGATTCGGCGGTGATGATGCCGGTGTCCCACTCGTAGAGGGCAAAGTGCCTGTCGTCCTCGGCTTAAAGTTAATAATAAAAAATGGAATTGCACAAAGTATGAAATGGAAGAAGCCTTTTTGCAACTACTTAACTGAAACTGTGCAGTTAAAACAGACCCATAAGTTTGATATTTCCCCAACACCCTAAAAGCTCACCTTCCTTCAGTCTTTGGAACCACCTAATACATTACAGTTGTGTGAATTATAACTACTCCAGTAACACCGTGAGAGACGTTAGCGATAAATATTACCAGTATGGACACGCAACAATGGAATGGTCATATATGGCTCATCTTCCGTCAGAAAGTAATGAAATTCCAATCTAGGATGTCGATTGATGCATTGCTTTGGTTGTGCGGGCTAAAATAAACCTCCTTTTTTAGAGATTTGATAGCTTTCAATAATTCGATCGACCCAATTTTTAAGAATCCAAAATTTTTCACAATTAGGTCAATCGAATTACTGAAATCTGCCAAACCCATAACAACCAAGGTTAGCCTAGTAGTCCATCTGGTGGATCCTAGATGATGACTTAGGAAATCCTGCCTGGCACTCAGCTTACTGCTTCCTTTTGGTGGCTCCCATACGTGCGGTAACTCTGGGCAAACTAATCAACCCAATTGTGATTAAATTCACGGCGCACGGTGAGCCTCGTAGCTCAATGGTAGAGCGCTGGCTGTGCAAAAGCCTCCCCTGCTGTGTGGGTTCGACGCCAACCGAGGCCGTGAGTTCTGTTCACAATTGGGTCAATCGAAATAAACCTCACTATTTAACAACTGACCGGTTAAAGAGACGGTATTAGTGGAACTCGACGCTTGGAAATGAAACTAGTTTCTTAACATTCGTCATACCTCTCAGTACTTAAAACACCGGAATGTTTTAGCAGTTTTTAAGCGACCAACTTAACCGCTTCTAAAAAAGTATTTAGACATTGACAGTTGGCGCTGGAGGCATCAAGCTTCACAAGTGGCTAAATACAACAAACATTCTGCCATATGAAGCAAAAAATGGGTAGAGATAGTTTAGAGGTGTTAACAAATTTAGACTAATACACCAGACTTCCGTTTTAAGGGACCGGAGTTAAAAATAAGGCTTTCCCTTTTGCATGAACAGCTAGAATATTCAATTAACCTCATAGTTGACCAGAAACCATACGTTAAAACTAATTAAAAACTAGTTTATTAACACTATGTTTTAGTTTTATCTAGGTATCGATGTAGATAGTATCATTCAACTTACTTTTTAATGGTTGTACCGATTGCTTCCTAGTAGACTAAATGGTTATTTTTATTGCTATCGCTACATTCAAAGGATGTACCTTCTAAATTACTATACTTCGCATACTAAAGACCTATAGAGGTTATGTGATGATGTGGTGAGACTTATAAATATCCTTAAGAAAAAAGAATGTACTTTATAAGTAATTATTATATTAAAAATCACACCTTAAGTCCTGATAAGAAAGTACCTAAGCCAAAGTCAAACACTTTCTACTGTCACAGAGAAGAACAATATAGCATCGGGTAATTGGCATAATTATTTCCAACAGAAAAAATGTCTAGGATAAAAAGGCCACTTGGAACCTTCTTGAGTTCGGTTGCTCAAATCTGTTCGCTAGCAGGTACTTTCTGCCCAAGTGGTTTCTCAATTTAGGTGTTCTACCTAAATGAATTTTCGCATTAAAATCGGATTATATAAGTCACGTAGTGATGCGGTTTACAGCTCCGATCTGGATATATAGATCTGGAGTCACTATTCTATCCCCTTTTATTCCCTATAGGGCAACGGAAGTCGATTTTGAAGGAGAGAACGCGTAATAATTCCTTTGTATAACTTCATAATCGGATACTTACCCTTTGCTGCTGCAAACCAGGCGAAGAAAACAATGAATAGAGGGGACCACATATTCAGAAGAGGAATCCTATCTCCGACTCCGAACGAACGAGCTTATATATGCATACACAGAGCTGGCTGCGTGTAAGCACGTCTGAATCTAGGCTGGGGAACTGACGCTCATGGGGTGGATCCTTTATTGGATTAAGAGATCAGTCCGTAACAGTTTGGCTAAAAATCAGGTCAAAAGCACATCGCCTTGGGATTCACCGTGTTCAGCAGTGCCGTTATGTAGTTTATGCATTGTTGTGACATTAATTTCCTGTCTTACCGTCCTGCGC